ACCACGGTTTCAAAGCCTTAAGCAGATCGTTCAAGTGCGAATGGGGAGCTTTCGAACGTAAAGCCCACTTTCGCACAGCTTCACGAGCGCTTGCATCCTTCTCCTCTACTTCCGCCGTTAAACCAACTTCTTCGTCCGTAGTCGCACTGGTAACCTCCAAGGAAGAAGAGCGTTCGTTCTCCAGCGAAGTTGAGGACATAGAGTCTTCCGTGACGCATTCCGACAAACTACTCGATGATGTGTCCGACGACGGCATTTCGCGCACCTCTTAGCTGATTCTTCGTATTATCTCTTCCGCTGCTCCACGTGCTTGACTCCGTATTTTACGCCTACTAACAGGCGTAAACATAATTGTGAGTAAAAGGGGACAAATGAGAACACAAAGACAAAGAGAGGTAGGGTTGGCAATGACAACGTTGACCGAGGCACGACGTGCGCGCTGCAGCGTGAGAATGCAAAAACTGGCACCGGCGACAGCGAGAAGACTAGTGGGCGCCGAAGCTAATCGATACACAAGTGCAAGTATGCGCGGCCGCTTGAGGCCTTCGGGACGCCGGCGCAGCCGACCCGAGAACCAATCAAAACGCGAGCAGGCTAAAGACACATTACCCCCATAGAGTACGCTAGACCGCGGCGAGCTAGCTTGCTATTAGGGAGGAAATGATTACGGGAAAAGAAGGGCAGAGGAAAGAGTAGAAAGACATAGAAATGGACAGTATTCAAGGGCTATTGAAAGCCCTAATTAAACGCAAATGGTATGGGCAAGCATACCAACGGTGTGAAGTTACTTCGAGTCCAAATGCATTGCGGCGACATCCATAATTTCAAATATGATAATAAGTCATGGTCCAATATCCCCACGAAACAATCTCGGAGGAGGAAGAGTGTGATAAATAAGGTCTGNCATAAATATATCCAGATTCTTTTTAAATCTTTGTGGAGATGGTGACATCACAACATCTGCGGGAAGGGCATTCCATGGTTTGACCACTCCAACAGAGAAGGAGAACTTCCGCACATCCAGCTTTGCCTGTTGAGTGCGCAGTTTTAGTGGATGTCCTCGGAGGTTGGTCGTGGTAGCACATTCAAAAATGTCCTCGAAGGCCAGACTGCAATCCAACCCCTTAACAATGCGGAAGGTTTGCAAGAGATCCCCGCATAGTTGCCTGTAACTCAAAGGTAAGAGTTTTAGATTTACTAGGCGGGTTACATAAGGAAAGAAGCTTATGCAACCCGCCTAGTAAATCTAAACCTCGGTTGTGCATCTAGGATTGGCTCATCTTTACGGTTAATATCAAACACCCTAACAAATATGGGAGCCGCATTTGAGCAATTCATGAATCCTGGGGGAGTTTTAAAGAGGCTGGTTTCAACTGACTCAGTGAAAATGCGCTCAGGTTAAGAGCTAGATGGAACTAAGGCCGCTGCATATAGGGGTCGATTAGATTGACGCCCTATGGAGAATCTGCTTGAGAGGCAAACGGCAGATGATTAGAATTCCGGGGTGGCTTAACGTTTGTTAATGGGGGAGAAGCTCTTCGTTGCAGTGGAGTTTTATCACGGCAACTAAAACGTTTATTTTATTAGTACATTTGCTCCAAATGAAGGACAGAGACCATTTTCGAAGTCAATCTTTGCTTTGATAAAGACTTCATCGGAAGTACACTTATTCAAAAATAATGTGGATTACTATCCAGATTTTATATACGGTATGTCTGCGGTAGTGGAAGCGTTGTTGCCAATGGGATATCTCAAACAAAAATCAACCATCAGAAGTCTGATTCTGACATCACGAAGTGTGCAAACCCACAAAACGTAGAAAAGCCGACCGCCAACCAATGCATTCTTTCCCCTCAGTAGCCTCAGAATCTAACCCTTCCCCCATCACAAAACATAAATTTATCCGACTCCTACTCGCCTAATTCGACAAAAGTTATTATCATCGTCATTCCGCACCACCGAATTTCTACATCTGGTGTGTCTGCCTCCAACACCGCTGGCCTCGAGAACCAAATTCAATTCAACCCCCACCCCTTTCGTGAATGTACCAGGCTGTTCACACAGAACCACAAAGCATATCGTCCTGCTTCCAACGGCTCTCTCGCACATCTAGTTCGACATCTAAAAACAGCATTAATGTCTCCCCCACATTCAGCCTCTTGGAGTGGCGACCCCACATTTGCGCTTTCAGACATCCAATCTTCTGTCAGCAAAGAGCTGCTATCCGTGTCAGCCGGACACGTCGACAGTGCACCAATCCTAATGCCCCGGCAATCTGAAGATTCTCCCAGATAGACGAAACCATAAAGAATATTTGACTACAACAACTGAAAGAACATATGACTCAACTGCCCAAACTCCTGCTTTTCTAGCATTCAAATCTGTGTTTGTGTGGCGAGACTACAAATACGTTCATTTTTATCGTTCGAAATTGCGCAGTGTGTAAACGTCTGTGTTTCCTCCACGAAAGTCCATTGGAGGTTCACCAAAGGATAAAGTGGTGTTATGTTGTTCATACTGCTGACAGGATAGACACCGTCTCAGTTGACACCAAACAGTACCGTCCATGCAGATCTGCATGGACGGTACTGTTTGATTCGAATCAACATCATCTTGAATGGGAAATGCAACAATAAGATAACCTGCTTTGAATGCCTACCGTCGCCAGATGTGCAACCCA